GTCTACGTACGTACGTACGTACGTACGTACGTACGTACGTTACGTTAGTACGTTAGTTAACGTAGTAGTAGTAAGTAGTAGTAGAAGAAGAAGAGAGAGAGAGAGAGAGAGAGAGAGAGAGAGAGAGAGAGGGAGTTTGTGGGATGTGGAGTTGAGAGGAATTACAAAGCTTACAACATATGGGTATTTTAAATGTTTACTGATGGATCAAGGCAGGATGGGACGAAATTCCATTTTGATGTGGGCCATTTTAACTTTGTGGTATTAAAAAAAAGAAAACGTTTTTACAGTTGTGAGGCCCTAAATATTCAAGTTAAGACGGACCTCAAAAATTTCACTAGAAAAGGTTGATTTGATGCTCAGAAATCTTCAAATTGATCATCTTTACGGCATGAAAAAAATGGATTACAAGACTTGGAAATAGTGTATTTACTATAGTTTTGAAATTTTAAATTTTATAATTTGAGTTGTAAATAAATATTCAGGCCATCACAAAGATTTCAAGTATTGAAACATCTTTCGATACTATTTGAAGGTACCCTACTTTGATGGTTCAAGGACTCATCCTTATACAAACCACACTCTTAAAAAAATATCCTGCAATTTTTTAAACTTATGGGTATGGCTCTCTTCTTTTTTCCCCACGAAGTGCCCCCTGCATTCGGACTTGAGACCCGAATTGGATTGTTTCTACTTCTTTTTTTCTATTGTTTTACTTGGTTTGGGTTTGGAATTATAAGTTCTCAACCGTGCCTTTTTTAATTTTTTTTTTGTTAAAATGCGGTTCGTTCCTTGGAGTTCAGAACCACATTTCCTCTTATCTTTTGCGTATGGGCAAATTCCCAGCTTCTGTACATAAAGAAAAAGGTCAATCGGTTTGGAGCATCGATGTGTCTATGCCTCAACATAACATCCCACCCAAATTGTATGCACCTCTAAATTTTATCATAAGATATAATTTGGTGTCAACTATTCTTAGGATGGTCTTGTAATCCATCTTTTGTCTCTTGATTATAAATTTTAAACTCTGAAAATGGTTCAAATCAAGGAGATCTATAAACACATGAAAATTGACAGTCTAGGTAATGCATTGCACTATATTTTGGACTCTAAATTTTATTTTCACACAGGAGATGCTCAATTAGAGGGTTTTCCAATACCAAAACAATCTTTTTCAATGGAATATTGAGTGCACCTTAATTCTACATTCTAAGATTGCGACCTTATATAAACTTATAAAAGATAAAAAAGGTCAGGTTTGACTTAAATGTGTTTAATGGTGGTGTCATTCAGAACTTGTTTGAACCGCTCATTCAAGTTGCATGGACCGTAGTATACAAATGGTCCCCTGCAAAACTCTTTATATACTATGGTCCCAAAGGACCGCAATGCGGATTTCTATCACTGACCTATTTAACGGCTTAGTTTATTAATCCGATGTCAAATAGCCCTTCATTATTTTTATCGAATTTCAAGCAGCTCATAAAAAAGATGTTTAGAAATTATTCTTGAAGTGTTTGGTGAGTGTGCTGAGTTACACTATTATTGTGCAGTCTCCCTACAAAATATATTTCAAAGACATCCAAAATAAAATTTTAGAGTTCAATTGTAAGATGTAATATTTTTTTGAGTCACATCTCATAGATGGAAGTTGGATAGACAAGGGAGGGACCGCAGGGCGACGTGTCCATTTTTTAAAGGGGTGAACAAAGTGGTTCTAAAATTTGCTAAATCTGTCTTTTGTCTTTCAATTTGGTCTGAAAAGAAAGAAAGTGGCAAAACAAGACTTGTTAATCAATTGAATTCCGCTGCTCTCTCTCTCTCTCTCTCTCACTGTACCGTGGTTAGCAATGGGGTTAAGATGCACATCCAGTGATGAATGAATGATACGCAACCTTCGCCATGCATACCTGCAACCTCTTCACACCTTCTCTCTCTCCATTTCTGGCTCCTTTCATTCCTCTCGCTCTCTTTTCACACATAGCAACCCGTCACCCTCTCTTTCTCTCCTCGCAGACCGATGCACCTCCATGAGAACCATCCTCCAAATCCACGCCCAAATGATCGTCACTGCCCGCATCCTCGACAATTATGCAGCAAGCCGCCTCATTGCCTTCGCTTCTCTCTCTGAAAATGGGGACCTCAAATATGCATTCCAGGTCTTTCGAAGCATAGAGCAACCCAATCTTTTCATGTGGAACACTCTCATTCAAGCCCACGCCCAAGCTCGCGAGCCGTGGCTTGCAATCATCCTCTATAAAACTTTGCGAGCCAGAGCCATTTCTCCAGGCGAGCACACATTTCCGTTCCTCTTGAAGGCCTCTGCTCGCATTATCTCTTTCTCTACTGCAACCCAACTGCATGCTCACATCATACATCTCGGATTTGAGACTGATGTTTATGTATCAAATGGACTGCTTCATGTGTATTGCAGTTGTGGTTTGTTGACGGATGCACGCAAGGTGTTTGATGAAATTCCTCAAAGGAATGTAATCATTTTTACGACCATGATTAGTGGTTATGCTCAGAATTGCGAGCCCAAGAAGGCCTTGGGAATCTTTAATGATATGGGTTTTGCTGCCGTCGAGCCAAATGAGATCACATTGTGCTCGGTTCTCTCTGCCTGCTCGAAATCTGGGGACCTCGAGCTGGGGAGAGATATCCATAACAATTATATCCAAAGAGAGGGAGTGGAATTAGGCCCGATTTTGGGTACAGCCCTAGTTGATATGTATGCAAAGAACGGGTGTATCGAGGCGGCTACAGAGGTGTTTCATGAGATGCATGAGAAAAACACGGCTACATGGAATGCTATGATATGTGGGTTGGCCATGCATGGCCATGTGAGTGATGCTCTAAAGCTTTTCCATGAGATGGTGGGTGTTGAAAAGGTGGCCCCAAATGATATAACATTTGTCGGGGTCTTATCGGCTTGTTGCCATGCCGGTTTGGTGGGTGTGGGTAGAGAAATATTCGAGTCCATGAAAAGGGCTTATGGGGTTGAGCCCAAGATCGAGCACTATGGGTGCATGGTTGACCTACTAGGGCGAGCAGGGCTCGTTGAAGAGGCGGAACGGCTCATAAATTCCATGGCTCCGCCTCTTAGGCCCGATGTTACAATATTAGGAGCGTTGCTGGGGGCTTGTAGGAAGCATGGGAAGATTGATATAGCTGAGAGAGTGGTTGAACATGTTCTTAAGATTGAGCCTGAAAACCATGGTGTATATGTGCTCTTATCAAACATGCATGCAGAGGCTGGAAGGTGGGGAGAGGTGGTGAGGTTGAGGAAGGTCATGAGAACTCAGGGATTGAAAAAAGTTCCTGGGTTCAGTTTGGTAGAGGCTAATAATTAACAAGGAACATTTTGCATAAAGAAAATGTGATTTTCAATTTTGGTAGGGCCATGGTTGTAGAGCTTGCCAGGAAATGCAGTTTTGGTCTCAGGACAATATAAAATCCTATTATTCCCACCTTGTTAACCATGAATCTGAAAAAAGACAGAGATTTCAAGTATTGAAAATGGTTGATCTTACAATATCTTTTTTAGGTCATTCATTTTAAGTATTTATGCATCCACTAGATCCGTGCAATTTCTGGAGTTTTAAATTTTACAGTCGGACAGATTTGAAGGCCACCGCAAGGTTTTAGGCCCAAAAATTGTGTTTTACAGTTGGGTTTTGAGGTGCTACTTTGCCGAATTTCATGAGGTCTTGCCCTATATAAACTACACATTTTAGTTATAACATGGGAAAACTGGGATGGGAATTGAACCAATGGTAGTGAGTCCCTTAAAAGTTAGTCAAGTGGTTAACCCCCTCATTTAAGGTGGGTGCCCTGATAAATGTAATTCATTCTCTCTAGGACGAGAGGATGATGGTATTCTTCAATCATCATGATCATAATTTTTTTTTTTTAATTAATTGAAATCGGTTGCACGAATCTGAATACACCATTTTGTTTTATTGAGGATCGTATCCTTTGTGGTTTTACATGTTCTAATTAAGTCCCAATGGCACCCAAAGCAATTTGAAAGATGAATCTTAATGCTTGTTTTAACCAAGCAGGAGCGATATTAAATAAATAAAGAAAAGAGAAATGCACAAAGATTCAACTATATTTTAATATTTTATCTGTTTTTTATTTCACTTCAAAAAGTCCATCACAACGCACGTGATCCTAGAAGAGGGGATATGGGCAATATGTTAAAATATTGATAAATAAAATGTATTTTGATAAAAATTTCTCAATAAAATTGAGCTCCCAACTGCTAATATTCTTTTGAAAGAGAATGTTAGTACCCCTTCCAGCATTGAGTACAGACGGCCTATTTGATAGATGATTAAATTTTAGGTTTTTAAGAATGTTTTCTTTTCGGGTTGTTCATATGGCGAATCAAATATGTGTTTAAAAAATTCTAGAGCAAGAAAATCCTCCCAAGTAATTATTTTTCCTATGGGTGGTAAGTGTAAAACATGAGCACCGTCGCAATTGTTCCAATTAGAAAGGAAGAAAATGAATAGCCGGAATTGTAAGATGCATTTTATTTTAAATATTTTTATACTAGATTTAATTGAAAACTTAAGGTGTCTAAATGTTGTAAATCAGGCCTCCTAAAAAATATAAAATAAATAATTTATAAAAAATAAATTGATCAAAATACCTATTAAAACATTATTTATTAACCAACTTTATTTTTCAAATTATTTTTTGTATTTCTTATGCTTTTCCAAGTATGACGCACACACACCTCCAAAAATTCATATAAACTTATAAAATATCAAATATCAAATACAATCATGATCGTGTATTTCTTCACTTCTAATCTGAATCGATTAATGGTGCTTGTGCGACATATATATCATGCGCCTACCATGACAACCAAAAGGGCAATAAGGTCTTCCGAAGAGATTCTAACTGTCTTAACAAGTCAATGGTCAGTAGATGAATTTTTTCTTTTTTTAGTGATAGGAAATGTATATCATATTGGATTTTGGTTGGGAGGAATGGGGATACAATTTCCAAAACAGGGGATTCAAACCATTTTTGTTTTCGGACACGCAGGAGCGCTATCACAAGACGATATTTGTTTCCCTTCGATTGAGTATTTATTGTGCACAAAAAGAGCAATTTATTGTCCCTAAGGACCATAATACTTATATGGACCATCACACTATAAAGAATTATTTATATATATATATATATTTTTTATAAAGTTTAAGATTGTTACATACGTATAGGGGCATCTCTCGCACATACATACGCTTCACCTTAAAAGGTGGATTTCTGATTTTTTCGAACGATTTATCGATATGCATGATGTGTGATGGTATATGTATGAAGTTTTGGGATCTCCGTAAGTCATCATCATACACAAAAGTCACACAGTCTCTCGGCTCACTCATTCGGACATATTCTCCCGCCTTATAAATAAATAAAATATTTATAACTAATAATTCTACATAAATATTTCATTTCCAATTATCTTGAGTTGGATATAGGCCTAAAATGGGAGGGGAGGGGAGGGGAGGGGAGGGCCGAAACGAATCCTACACACGTGCACAACTCATGCTTGTATTCATGGCCAAGGGATTGATGCTGGTCCTCTGTTTCAGAAAGCGCCACGTCATTACTCGTCACTGTCCGTACGAACTCCGGCGGTCTTCCTCGTACGACTTTCTCTATAAAAATCTACAAACATTTAAACAAAGGAAAAAAAGTCTCTCTCCCTAAAAATCTGGAAGCGTTTAATCAAAGGAAAAAAGGTCTGTGGTGCGGTGTGGTGCGGTTCGGTTTGGTTTGGCTTGGTTTGTTTTGGAAGATAGAGAAAAAAAGTTGATTCGTTTCTGTCTCTTCGTCTTGCTTTTGATTATTAGCATGGTGTGGTTGGTGCAAATTAGGATAAGAGGCATGAGGCCTTCCTGCTTCCCCGTTGCCCAATCAACACTCGACGGAAACTACAAATAACCACCACCCACATAAATCTTTCATGGCTCTTCGTCTCCCTATGTCTCTTTCCATAACTAATGACGACCTTCTCTCTCTCTCTCTCCTTCTCCTCTCTTCATTCATCGAAAAAGCTAGCAAACACAACCGTTAAAGCCTTGCAACCACAAAAACTAAAAAGGCAGCAATCCTTTCTGCATTTTCCCTCTCCAGAAACATTAATGGGATATTGTCCTCAGTGTCATTATTGTTTCCCATGTATTTGTTCTCACTGTAATGTAAAAACATCACGCTAGTTAATCAATTATTGGTAATTCTAATTGTGGGTGTGGCCCCTATAAATAGTATTGCTTCTCTGTAATCAATCTATTTTGGGTGGTCTGTCTTCTAACGTTTCCTTTTCTTGTGAGTTCCTCACATAAATGGTAACAAGTTCATAAAGTTGGTATCTCTAGTTCTGAAACAACTATGAACTTATTGCATTAGCTACAGTTTTTTTCGTTAGTTAGAATAATATATGATCAAAGCTTGGTTCCTCCTACAATTTGGCCAATTAGTCTTTTGTGACTTATTACCTGGTTATACATTGTTTCTTTTATGAACAGTGAAAATTACCTTATTTATAACAGATGGGATTTAACAGTGACCTTATACAGGGATTGAGCATTGAGGGTCTTGCTGGCTAGGAACGTTTTCCTTTGAATGTTTTGATCACCATGGATGAGCACACAGTTCAGGATCCTTTACTTTCTGATGGTGCAAGGATAGACCATGGTGTTAAGAAGCCAGGTCTTTTGAGCTCAATTGGGAAATGTGTGTTCAAGATTTTCTTATGGGCCATCTTCTTAGCTTGGGTTGCTGTTATATTTCTCTTCCCTAGTGATTTCGTGCGAGGATTCTACTTGAAATATATATTTGCTACTCGCAAATCAGTCTTTGAAAGCTCTGGTTAGTATCTTTCCAATTTATATTCTTACATTTCCAATTAATCCTTATTATATGCCCAATTTTACTTATTTATGTTCATCTTTTGGATAAGCAGGAGGCATATTGCTTGTATTCAGTGCCCCAATTATTTTGGTTGCCATTTTGGGGATGATATACATTACCATTTTCCCAAGACAGTACCTTGGGTATGCTTTTCTTTATCCATGGACTATATACTTTGGATCTCCTTTTCCTTGCCTCTACCTTAACAAATTAAGATTTTGTATGGCTGGAAACAGAGCAGTAGCGTGATTCTATTAGAAATCACTGTTTAGGATTAACTATGATCTGGCTATTCTGGTACACTTTATAGCGATTTTTTGTTTTTTCCACAATTCTCTATCAGGGTGAAGAAACGAAATTTCCCAAGTTTCCATTTATGGACATTCCCGGTTATTGTGGATGGGCCTTTTGGAGTGGTTTCTGCAGCAGAATTCGTGGGGATAGTGTTGGTCATTGCATATGTGCTATGGTCTTTATCTGCTTATATAATCAGAGACAGTCATACAATATCTGAATTATCTGTGTCTACAGAAGAGAAGAGGTAATCCTAGTATGGGTAAAACCCATTACGAATTTTCTTGTGTTGCCTCTAAATCTGAGCTTCCTTTATGTTTTTATCCTGGTCTTGATGATTTGTTATTTTGCAAAGACATGGTGCCTTTGATTGAATTATCTTTAGAATAATATCATTGGTGTGATGTGATAGTAATGGACAAAGGTCTTCTCTATGCTTTCTTTTTTTCTCTCTTACCTTTTGCTTTTTCATTGTTTTGATTTGAATTTTAGAAGCCAGATGGATTTATAGAGTAGCTCAGTAGCTCCATAGAAGGCCTGCCTTGTGGAATCTTGTGCTGGTTAGGAGCTCTGGAGCCTTTTCATGGAGACACTTTTCAAGATGGATCTTTTGCATTGAAAGTATGCTGCATCTATTGAATGGTTTCCATAACAACATTTATCACGTACCAGAGAACTGATGGCCTCTTCCAACGCCATACTTTTGTGGTCATTATTTATTAGTGTCTGTCTTTGTTTTTCTGTAAGTAAATTTGAATCAGGAAAACTATGGAAACTTGGATTGGTTATAGCTAGAGCTGTAACAATATTTGCTCTACATTCCGGAATTTAGAATTTCTGTATGCAACTTGATTCATTGCACTTTTATCTTCGACTCCGCAAAATAAAATAACATAAAAAATATGAAAAAAATAATCTTTATCTTGTTCGACTGAGTTGTAACCGTATTATTTATATTCCCTAAAGAGATCTTCTGAACTAGTTGAGCACCTCTAGGCTAATTCTCTTATGCTTTCTTGGCAACGTTTTATGAACTCTTATCAGAAGTTGTGTAACTGAAGTCCTATAGTCCCTGATGGTTGGCTTTCTTCATATTTTTGAAACACTGCTTATACCTAATTTGTTCGTTGTTGATTTTGCAGCTATCTAATGTTGGAGTTTGTAGGCCTTCGTTTAGGATCGATTGGATTATTTCTTTTGGCTTTCCTCTTTCTCCCAATTGCAAGGGGATCAAGCCTTCT